CTTAGGCTTTTGGACTGCTGGGTGAATAAATCAAGACTCTTGAAGATACAGTTTGTTGCAGCCCTAACCACAGATAAGCTAATTAGATGTAATCATCATAAAATCTCAACTGTACTAATTAGCTCTAACTGGCATGTAAGAGACTGTGTTGGCCACTGTATTGATTTAGAGCAAACTGCCTGGTGCCATCTGCCTAATTAAAAAAATGTTGAGGTTAAATATTCATAATACACATGACTAAGCATGAAGCTGCAGGGTGAATGGGATTTTCTCCTGCTGCCCTGCACTCTATTATTTTCTGAAGTAAGCTAAAGCTCTGGCCTCCTGCTGCAGTACAGCCTCACTGTGTGCTTTTCCTCAATCCAACATTACATAACATGCACTTCAAATGCTTCTCATGCAGAAAGAAAAGCTAAATGCAAATTCCATTGGGCAAACAAGTCTGTTGATTTGTACATTTAAACCCATGTCCTTAGTGTTGGCAGAATCACAGTCAATTATGTCAGCTTAATATATAATACCTTCACACACTGCTTTTAAACACATTATCTGGGAAATATTTTGTGATCTTTGGACTAAGCTAAGTTACATTCTTACATACAGTATAAACTGACATTAGTGAGAAAAGACTTGCCTCTTGGCAGTGCACAGCAAGATTAATAAATCTAGGCTATTTCTAAAGCTTTGGAGAAAATAACAAGCAGAGAGAAATGAGTGGTAAGACAGACACACACGCTGGCTCCAATTAAACTACATCAGTGAGGTAAAGAAACAACAGCTGTCTTAATGTTCTCCTTCAACCATAACACAAGTGTGTCTCTCACATACAGACACGCTTATAAGCACCAAAATATCCCACGACACCCCCCTACCACACTCACTTTCTTATACATCAACACAGACAAAACCTCAGCACATACGGTGAAACACAAGCCTGCATCAGCAAATCAACCATCCCACCGTTTGGCAATTCCTCTCCAAACGCCCAGAGCAAACAGATGGTCATTTTCTTTTTTGTATGCCCATTTAAGATACTAAGTGGCTACTGTAGGCCTGAAATCTGTGCAGTGGATGAGTCTTAGTATTTACATCAGAGTGGCCAAAGTGTACTCCTGCATGCGTGTTCTGTTCAACTATCACGGCCTATTTATGATTCATATTTCAAGGGGGAGTGCAGGCTGTGGAAATCTGGCTCCCCGATGAAGAGCCCTCAGAATGCAGCAAAACGTCCCAGCATGCACCCACACTTATGACGCCCTAAATCTCACACCCACAGCTTTTGTCACCAAAATACTGAGCCGTGCATGCTTTTGCATTCTTGTTGCAAAATATTGGGGGAAAAAGGATGCTCCGCTTTATCTTCCGTAAAAATGCCTGTGCAAGGACAGCGATAAGCCCATAGTTAACTACGGACAGTTACATTTCCCTTCTGCAATTATAATACAATAATACTACTAATAACACAATAAGGGCACATGGTAAATAATGTGCAAAAGCTAAAGATTTCACATTAACGTGTAAAATTGCTCCACCTATTTCAGTCTTAATAAATTCTGCCATCTGTTACATCAAGTCACTTTAAGGTGCTAAATAAAACCGAACTGTTAAGACAGTCTTATAAGTAGTGTCATATCTCTGTGATTTATATTGATACGTTGCGGCTTCACACAAAACAGTGGAGGGATTTAAATGCCATCCGTTTACACAACACTGCCAGTAGCTATTTACTGTGGCTGTGATTCACTGTCAACTTTACACTAGAAGTGGACCTCCAGAGATTTTAGGAATCCTCCTGACAGTCTGGGCTAAGGCGAGTTACTTGTGGATTTACACCAGGAGAGGAGGTGAGTCAGCTCTGATTTACATGACCACTGCAGTAAACGATACTGAGTGCAACACAGCAGAAGTGTTGAAGGGTTGAAAGTGAGAAAGAGAGCAATACGTTGACAAAAAAACTAAATCAAAGTGTTTTCCACAGCAGTTTATTATAAGCTCATAGGTTTAGTCTGCACATTGCATAAAAATGGCAGTGCAACCAAAAAGTGATGCGTATCAAAACGTATTCACCACAGCATTACTTTGCAGGATTTAGTTTGCGACGCCTGAAGTGGCTCTAAAAGTAAAGGTGACTCATTTAGTCAAGACCCTGCCTGGGTTTGGCTGCTTGAGAGAAGAGCTGATAACCGGACTTTGAAAAGCAAAGGCTTTACGGGATTGACGCCCTACCTGAACTGCGTTCCCAATCCCACAGATATGTTTCCATTCCCTGAGCAAGACTGCTTTACATAATCATAAGCCATTTGGTGTGCATCATTAATTCAGTCCTGAATGAAGCCATTTAATCACTCCTTGGAGGAGGTGCAGGCTCTTAGATTCAAGCTTGATGATTTTAACCAGTCATGTCATGCAGGCCCGGTGTCACATTGCAGAACGGCTCAGTCTGCGGTGAGGCAGCCCGGTGAAGCAGCCCTGTCGTTTACCTTGAAAATATGTTTACTTTGATGGTGTCATCGTCCTTGACAGCGAGGTCACTTCCAAGCTAACCTGCACCCTTATTTAGAGATGTTGACTGAAAAACTGGATTTAAGCTCATGCCATTCAAGGAAACTGAGAGAAATGTATGCAAATGAAGCTGATCTGAGTTTCCCACCGCCATTAGTGGATGATCGTGGAAAGTTGCGGGGTGGATAAGCTTTAACAGTATTCTTATGGGGAACAGTTATAAAACCGCTAACCTCTTCAGCTGTCAAAATGGAAAATGAGGAACTGAAATCTGAATTTAATGGAGAAAAAGAATCCTTGTGCTCAAGGATGAAAGATAAATGCATGGCCATGGTAAAAGGTTTGCAAGATTAACTCCGAGATGTAGTTTGAAAGATACGCAGTGACATGAGCACAGATCACTCCAGCCTACTGCACTTCCTCCTGGGCTGAGTGCCTACCACAGCATTAACTTTAGCACTCTCCGTTCCTTTCTTTTTTCCTTTACATCTCTCCTTCGGTCCCTTTCATCCACTTCTCTTTAAAAACAACAAAACATAATGTTGTAGCCTCGGTGCATGCATCTCTGCATTTAGACATGCATTACTTTCAGTTTACATCAGATGCAAGCTGGGTTCACAAACAGAGAGCCTGTTATGTACTTCGGACTACACTGCGGAAGCGAAGAACACAAACAGCCGCTGGCCCCCCGAGCTGAAGATGATTTTACTCATTCAATATCATTAGCCTCAATAATGACAGTGCGCCAGCATGCCAAGCTGCCTCTACAAATCAGATGCAAAGGATTTGGCTGTTTCCTTAGACAACAGTACTGAGGATGGGTAATGGCTTCGCTCAAATCAACGCCTCTTCCTAATTTCTCAGTCAGCGTCCGTCTATTTCTTAACCCCCCCAAAAACAATTTGACTTTTATTGGCATTTTTTCTTATTTTGCTGCTTGAAAACTATTATTCAAGTATAAAAGGTGTATTTCAATATCAACAGGCAATACTGTAAAAAAAAAAATGTAAATGGCAAAATGTTATAATAAGAGCAGCCTGCCGCTGTAACACTCTCTGTGTTTTAAACAGAATCAAGCCACTATTTTAAAAATAGACTGAAAAGAGTATAAATAAAATGTACTACAAATGTGTGTGCTACAATGGTTGCAATGGTGCTACAGTATGTAGATCAGTATTTAAGTTAGAGTTTGGAATATTTCTTTCCAAACTATTGTCTGAGCAGTTAAGTGACAGGTGGGACAATAAGGAGAGAAATCATTCCTGACAGAAACATTGCACAATTGAACAGATCTCTGGATATCATAAAGCACCGTAGCACACCAGGGTGAGAAATAATGTCAAATCCTATTCTCACCAATGCTGCCTACAGACTGTGTCCCCTGCTACTGTGCCATTCACTCCTCTATCCTCAGTGCCTCACTATGCATTTAAAGATATCTCACTTAATAATATGCTCCTTATTCGTCTGTGTAAAAGCTGATATGATCAGAGTAAAGCAACACAGAAATAGAAGAGATTGTGTTATAAAAGCTATCGTGCAAAAACCTTACTCTAAATGTTGAATATGGCAGATATCGTAGATTAAAAAAAAGTCATTAGTCTTCCTATCCCTTGGGGTTCCTACACATGAAAAGTCCACCATAACTAAAGTATCAACCCTTTTATGCACCATGTAATGAAAGCAAAAGAAGTGTAAATACTACAATAGAACAGTAATCTGCACTGATTGAAGGCGTGTGATAAATATTCAATGCAGCTTCATGTTACTATACTAACAGGATAGTATAAGATTTTTTTTGCAAAGTGTTTTGGTTCACAGCATGACGGGGACAAATCGCGTATATGACAAGGATTATAGTTATAACTACGCTTTTGAGTCACTGCTTGGAAATATATCTGATTTTAATATTTCAGCTATAAGGAGTTGCAGTGATTAAATCTAAACCCAATTATAAAAGATTACAAATGAAGGGGTTATCAGCATAAGGTAAACAAACACAATAGGCGTGCTAAGATGATGACAGTATTCTTGCACTTACCTAGTAAAATACAAATTAGTTTCCCCTTTAAAGCTGACCACATTCAGCTTATTGTACTTTGTTTACAGTGCGTGTTTGTTACTCCTGCATTGAACAGATAAGCCATGAATAGCTACTAACATCATTTTAATCACATACACATAAAAGTCTCAACACTTAAGTGCAAATCAGACAAACCTACAAATCTCTCCTCTTGAGGTGTTGTTTTTGAGGGGATTTTGGGGAGGGTAATTAATGACTTAGTGTCATTTATTATAAATTGGTACGGTTTGGCAGTAAGAGAGAACAAACTGCTGTGCAATTGCAATTGGGATAGTCTTCTCTGTATTGTATCCTGAGCCAAGAATAATTGATTATTCTTACTTTACTTTATCAGTGGGGAGAAAAATCCTGCAGTTTATTTTTTAATTAAAATACTTTAAATAAGTTGTAAGGTCTCAGATCAGACATGCCCTACCTATACTTCATGCCAGTCTTGATGCTTTGCTCGCTGGAGGTAGGCACACTCTGAACAGAGAGTTGTCCCAGGCTGCGGGCCACCATGGCCACGGCTCTGAACTTGCTGCGGGTGCCTGTGTTGGGGCTGTTGGCATTCTGGCGGTTTAGCCGCTCCTCTGTGGTGCGGCTGACTCCCCCGCGGTGCTCCGTGCACACTAATGACACCTGCATCCTGGCTTTTGGCCGGCCGTCCCAATTGTGGAAACTCTAATGACACTCTCCTCTGGTTGAATCAGGTAAGACAAACTCCCAGAGGCGCAAAGTCTGAGGATCCCCTAACGATTCAGAGTCCAGCCTCACGCACTGTGCCTCCGTTAGAAATGTCTGCCCAGTCGCTAATGTGACTAACCAGCGCACAATGTTCAGGAGAAAAAAAGAGCGGCAGAAAGGTAGGAGGTAAGATCAGAATGTATTCAAACAGTAAAGGAACGCTGATCAGGTGAAACCTAAATCCTCTCAAAGAAAGTCCAAATCAAGCACAACATTACAGCATTTCTCTCTTAGCTGGTGTGAGGAACATGTGTGCAATCACAGCAGATGCATAAAATGCAGGTTCAGTACAAAGCTATAAATAAAATCAAAATCTTCAAAAAATAGAGTCCAGGAAAAGCAGTGTTTGTGTGAATATCCCTCTGCAAGTTTTTCCTTGATTCATCCGGGTGTCCTCCTCTCGCTTTATCTTTAATCAGAGTCTCATCAGGAGCTGACAGGCAGAATTAGAGTCTTGCAATTTCCTTTTAAAGCTGAGCTCAGTGCTGGAGATAACACCTCTTGCTGCCAAGCTTTAAGAGTGGAAACGATTGGATCCACACAAAGAGATTGAGAAAATAAAACACAAACACACAGTTCCAGGAGGTATTCATCTCCCCTTCTGAGTCCGCCTTGACAGTTGCATGGCTGCTGAATATTTAACCTCTACTACTGCCTGTTAGCAAAAGGGCAACCTCATATTCACTTGCCAGCTCTGACTGGAGACTGGGTAAAACTTACATCTGTATGCCTTGTGCTCAGCGCAAAGCCGCACAGTGGCAAGAGACGGGAGGAGAGAGAGGGAGAGAGAGAGAGAAAGAGGGAGGGAATGTGGTGGGAGGGATATGAAGCGAGCTACAGCAGCGTGAGAGAGCAAGGCATTGAAATCTCTTGTGTTTACAGCAGCACTCATTTTGGAGCTCATCTTTGTCTGTCTGTTGCCCTGCAGTGTGCTTTCTAGTTTATTCTGTCAAAGGAAAAAGGAGGAAGCTAAATGCTCACTGGTCAGGACTTTGCAATAGCCTATGGCCCAGGACAGTGGGCTCTCACGTGGGTATGTTCAACTGCCCATAAAATATTCATTATGTAACTTTATCTGTGACAATGAAATGTCCAAGGCAGGGCTGTCTGAGACGCTGGGTTTGTCTACACTGCTTCATTACTTGGAAGTGATTCAAAGGAATGACTCGTTCTTGCATATTCTTCAACTGACCAAAGACATAAATAAAAGGTTGTAGGATACATGATTTTGTTTGTCATCAGCAGCATTATTACGAGAGCTGTGTGGTACAAATATAATGGTTGAAGGGTTGAAAGTAAACACCACAGTACAGTAATTGGACTTAATGCAACAGTGGCTGCAGATTGAAGAGACAGTAGATTAGACACCCGCTCCCAGTAATATAATACTGACGCTTATCTGTGTGGACCAGAGTGTGTGCCGAGGAGGTCATTAAAGGAGATGCCATCAGAAGCAGACATGTATAGTAAAGAAGAAAAGAAAAAGACACCTCCATCATAGGAATCAAGTGAGAAGCTGTTGCTAACAGACAGCTCTATTCTTGGAGCTATGACCTTTGGTCTCCTGGACTTAAATACAACCCTGAGAGGAAAGGTGTTTTAATCCAATGGAAATCTGATTGAAATTCCTTATTGTGTGCAGGGAGCAGAGAAGCCAAGCTCCAGACTTCATTTTGAATGCTCTGAACCAGCGCTGGAGGGAATGCGGCTGCGTATCAGTCTCAACAGCGACAGCCAAAGCAACATATGGGCGAAATGGATGGGGTCTCCTCACCTTTTCAGGGTTATGTCCTGCACTTTGGGTCAGGGTGATAAGGAACACATTTTGGGGCTGATGCCATTTGCTCTCTGCTAATTCCAACAAAGCAGTTGAGCATGAGAGCAGTCTGACCTGGCAGACTTTTACCCTACAGGGTCCATGCACTTAGTGCCAGCGCAGTGGAAACGTGATGCAGCGATCCACTGAGCTCTGTCCCAGGGCCCCCAGGAGTCGTGACATAGGGAAGTTACTTAGAAGTGGGCGGGGCCAGGGACAGCAGCTCAGGAGGCAGACACACAGTATCAGGCTTATGCTCCAAGCTAAGTCCAGATAATAACCCTGAGAAACAGCCCAAGCTAAATCTCCAGCCTTGGCATGCCTTAAAATATTCAAGCAATGGGATTTAATAAATTAGATTTATTTACATACAACCTTCGTCTTAAAGTTTATTGTTAACGCTTCAACTAAAACGCCACAGCTTTCCACCGCTACTCAACTAGACGACTGATTTCTTGTCATTACTAAACCATATGAATCCTTTGTTGACCCTTGATTTATCTGCAACTGAAAATCTACACATCTATCGATTGTTATGCAACGCAAGGTACAGTAATCAATACAAGCACGCATCATCCGACAGACTAGTGATCCATCACCAAAATCAATCAATAGAACAACCATTTTTCACTTATCGCTCTTTCTGGCATTTTCCTCAGCTGACTGACTCTCATCACTAGATGCAAACCACATTGCAACAGACTGTATTCATAATCTTCACTTCAACAATCCTCTAAAATATATCAAATAAAAAATGGTATAACACCACATGCACCAATAAATCAGGAGCTATGAACTGCCTAGGAAATGAGCAAATAAAAAACCTGCTAAATCCAATAAACCATGTCCGTCACAGATACTACGATTTAAAAGAATCATAGCAGGCACATCTGCCAACTTTCGTTAGATTGACAGCACACATTTCATTTTCACTTGACTATAGCTTGGGGGGGGAAAGACTAGATGAACAGAAGAGGTGATGATTAAAGATGACTGACAGTTTACCACTGCATGATGCTTTAAACTTGCATTCTTTCTAACTGCCAGCAGGGGGGGGGGGGCTCCACTGGTTGCAAAAAAAGTCTGTTAGAATATAAGTCTATGAAAAAATGACAACTTCTAGATGTACCTCATGAGTTTATTGTCTGAATTGCACATTTCAAGTGTTCAGCACAATGTTTTTTTAATACAGCGTATTATTTGGGGCATGGCTACCCTATGATTAACAGGTCACTTCCACAGTGTTGCCCCTTTTTGGTGCGTTTAGCACTTTCGTCCCAGAACGTCAACGTTTTCACAATGTTATGTTGTATTAGACTTAGACTTAGACAACACTCACTCTTGTCAGTTATTCAAAATGAACTGTAACATTTAGCTGGCCAAAAAAAAGGTCTTGTTCTTGTAGTACTAGACCCTCTAGTGTGACTTTTGGTTTTAAAGAAAACATGATGGTGATGAACCAAAATGCCAAACCTGAGGCTTTAAAGCAGTTGTGCACAGTTGGTGACGTCATGCTGACTGTGTCCACTCATGATCAGTCTATGTTAGAAACCTGCGACCTTGTTTAACATTTGCCCTCTTAACAACACTCATGCGGCGCAGTCTTGACATTCCTGAAGAGGAGGCCTTTTATCTGTATGACAAGCATATTTCATAAATCACCTCCGTGTTTAATTCATCACAGAAGTTTTCACTTGCGTGACACATCAAATTGCACTGCAGACAACACATGGCTTTCAAACCTGCGGGTGATCGCAGAGTCAAAGTCAATCTGAACAAATGCTTACACATGTATCATTTCATTCAGTATTTCATGCACACTCTGAATGGCTATTATTGAGGGAATACTGGCCTGAACTATGAGGTGCTTTGTGTTCATTCATCAGAGTCTACTGGAGCAAATTAGAAATGAATTGTTAGTCACAAGATAAATCAGTCATAAAGGATGCTGGATTAAAAATAGGAAACTCTGGTCTTTACATAATGCCTCAGAGGTCTGCTGTTAAATTGCTAATTAGCGACATTGTGTTTGGGGTGCGCACAATGACTCAACCCAATGCACGACTGTTCTTTTTGGATAAAAAGTAGTTTATATATCAATGCAAAGGAAACAGTTTAACAGCAGAAAACCAAATAATCCTATCGGAACCCATTGTTAGTGCTGGACCCAGCAGCTGGTTGTTAGATAGCACTACTGAACAAATCTCAATGTAAAGAAAATAAATCTCCTCCCACTCCACATACTATCACAATGTCCTCCTGAGTCACGGCCTTCGTCTGCTTGCTTTGGTTAAGCGCCTGATTTGCGGTTATCTGAAAATCTACTGAGCTGCTAAAACCCATCTCAGGCACTCAATCAGTGTGAGCGAATGCAGAGCACTGATAGGGCCCTGCATTTCATTTAGCGTGCGGGGGAGGAGGAGGAGAGAAGAGCTGGAGACCAACAGCAGAACATTCATGTTTCAGTGATCACGACTACAGCGGAGTCAAATTCACGGACAGTACTATTTGTGGGGAGCGTGCGTGTGTGTGAAAAACAGGAGACAGATATTCAGGTAAAAAGTCACCATTCAGCAAAGCATACAGCTGAAATGAGAAGAGCAAATGTATCGTATTTTTTGACAATACTCAATTCCTTACTGCCAATACTAGAGAAAAAGCTGCAAAAACACACACTTAAAATCATTGGCGTTTTTTCCCCTGTTATGCTTGCAGCGCGAGGGAGTGTTGGCGATCAATGATGCCGCATCATCATGAATCCCCAGGACGAGAGATTCTGCTTGGACAGCTGACCTCTTCCAGCTTACAGCCCACATACTGCAGCTAGCAGCTCAGTGGCGAGAGGGAAAAGACAACTACTGAACTTTCATCGACACAAGCGTCAGAACAACTGTGACCACAGAGGTACTGTGGGGCACTGTCATGAACGATGATCCTGCACCACAGCGGCAGGCTCTAAAAATAGTCACTGGCTCTTTGAATCAATCCTACAGTGAGCATAGACAAAATACAAAGACGCCCTTAGGTACTGAAAAGAGGAAGGGGCTTCCAAATTTGAATATTTTGTTCACAATTTTAAGGGCTGTCTAGGTACCACCATCGAGCAGGGATTGGCCTATAAACTGACATCCAGAGTTGCTGCGGGGTACTAGGCCCGATCTGTCCAAGCAAATAGAACAAGTTCTGGCTTACTGCCCTCTGTAGAGAGTACTGCAGGGACCCTCTGATATGGAATCCTTGAAATCTGCAAGTAAACAGGGATAATATCGTAAAGGAAAGAGTCCTTTAAGCCCGGTAAATAGAATAACATATACTCAACGGCTTCATCTGACTTTAGCTCAGCCTTCTTAAGTGGACATCTCTTACCATTTACATAAGAAAGTGAGTCCAAAGGCATCAGGCCAAGATTGACTGTGACAGGCAGTGATTGTTAGTGCAGCTTTAGAGGATGACCACAGTTGTGTCATGTGTAACTGTTGGCCAGCTGTCCAATGGAGCTTTAACTTCCACTTACTGAGGGTTTAATTGAACCGAGTGAAAAGGATAGCAGCCCTGAGATGGGAGTGGCTAGGCAGAGGAGTGTGAGTGTGTGTGTGTGTGTGTGTGTGTGTGTGTGTGTGTGTGTGTGTGTGTGTGTGTGTGTGTGTGTGCGTGCGTGCGTGCGCGCAAGTGAGGGGGTGA